GCTTAGTATACATTTACCCACACGTTAAGAATGGGATGTCCAACCTTTGCAATATCAAAAAAGAATTACACCCTACAGGTTTCAGGCATATTTGCTGGTTAGCCCGCTTTTCTTAAAAGGTTTCCAGACTAAAAATCAAATAGGAAGGTGGTTAAAACTTACTGATTAGATTCTTCGATATTATTGACTACAAATCTAGTTTGACTAGAAAGAATATGCGCGCACAATGGAGGTAACTATGTCTTTAAAGTCTGTAACAGACAGTGGACTAGACATAACTTCCAAAAGACCGGATCATCCTTGTAAAGTCAATGCGAGTTTTATCCCAATACTAATGCCAGCAATTGACATAACATGATCCAGAAAATGCTTATTTGATAGAGTTAAGTAATTTGTTTTGAAGCTAATTACAGTTTTGTTACCTCTTTCGGCTTTTGTTATACAAAGAATAAATCCTTGAATTTATTGCATGGTAATAAAGAAATTTTCGTCTTGGAAACCAAGTGAAATATAATGCTAACAATCTAACATCCTTGATAATGACTTGTGAAAAAACAAAAATCAATTATTTCCCAATCCTTTTAATAGTTCATTCTTAAGAAACCTAAAGAGAAATGTGAAGAATTCGTCGTCTCGTCAGTTAGGTGAAACCAGAAAACCCGTGGATTGTAATTAGTCTTACAGATTATAGGAGGAGTATTTAAAGACACAAGGTGAATTCAAATTTCGTGGGGCTTTGTACATTCGATTTTCAAATTTTTTGTTTTTTTTTTTGTTTTTTTATTATGATGGTACGTGTTCCTAACATGTGTTGACGATATTAGCCATTTTGCATTTTTCGAGTTTTTTTGAACACACCTCCGCTATCGGAATGATAAGTTACTAGGGCCATAGTAGTGATTACTTGAATTCTCTCCTTGGAATGAACCAAAGCGTTTCAATACTGATACCAATTATGTGTCATTACACATATGTGTGACTTAAGTCGATCGAGTGTATTATTTTTCATAATATTCCAAAAATTTCAATGTTGCGAAAATGCTGGCAGAACGATACCAACCCACGATTAAATAAACTGCGAATGTTATTTATTAATAACAATGAATAAAAATTAGAATAAAAAAGAATATTAATAAATAATACTAATCCAAATTGTAAAAAAATTGTATTTGGCTGTAAGGGAAAGTACTTTGTACCCAGGAATTTTAAGTTAAAAAAAAATAAAATAATAAATATATATATATATATATAACCGTGCTTACTGTGCCTGGGATTCAGTATATTTAGAAATTTCTTTCCCTCTAAATCTAACAAGTACGAGGTTTTTTCATTGCATTGCAGGTGCATCCTCTTTGCGATTAGGTCTATTTTTAATATCAACCTACCTGTCAGAATTACCAATATTTTTGCCAACTACGAATCTGATAGCTTCGTTTTTGCGGCCAGGAGAATGCTACAGCAAATATCACACAGGGGAATATGTTTAAAGCGATTGAGATTTTGATGCTGATCAAGAATATATATATGTATATATAGACATATATTACTTTACGTTTTGACGAAACGAAAACACTCCATCGTTCGACAGTGGGTATAAAAAGTGATGTTGATCCAGAAACTCGATCAAAATTCACGACTACTTTCTTTCTCCTCATTTTCGACGAATTTGTAAACGGATCTAACTGCTGGCTTTTCAACGAAATGTCAAAGAGTGATACGAAGATGAGTAATGTTAACTTTATTCCCTGAGGTAGAATTTTCAAACTGTAGTCGATTTCAACAGCTGAGCGGAGAGAGATGGGTATCGGAAACCGACAGATCCATTTTATCATAATCTCATAGGCTGCAGTAAAATTACCAGTAAGCAATCAGATGAATGAAGACTTAGAAAATATGAAAAGAAATTTTTTAAAAGAAAACAAAAAAAACAAAAAACCCAAGCCTCTAATTCTGATTATTGCATGAGGATAGGATGGATGCATGCCAGTTAATCAATCTAGAAATTGTCTTTGCATTAGTGGCAAATTTGAGGTCGCTTTCTCTTCTATATATATTTGAATTACATTTTTTTGACTTTTGTGGATCGAGTTTCAAAAATTGATTTCTGAGTCGCAATTATAAGATCATAAGTTCAAAGTTTTTTGTGGGTCTATCAGAACCTTTTTTTTTTTTTAAGGTTAAAGATGTGAAGACGAAATACGATTGGGTGAAACCTCTGGAAATGAGTATAACTAAATCCAAGCGATATATTAAGACGATAATGACGAATAAAATGATGTTTTAATTATTTCCAGAATATTACAAAACCTAATGAAGTCTCATTTTTCAGGGTTTATAAAATCGCTTCTACGCACCTTTTAATTTAAATTTTTTTTTTCAATTTCTTCTAAGATTTTTATCAAGCCTTGTTTGAATTCATTCGTTCAAAGCCGGATAAAAAAAAACCACTAAAAGTCCTTATCTTTCTTAGTGAAGTTGATAAAGGCAAGCAACAATTAGCATTACTATACTTAATAAATAATTAAGACTTCATCAAGACTATTAACGTTTAGAGTAATTACGCGTTTAGTGTGTTCACTTACATAGAAAATTGGATGGCATTTTGAGGCAGGCGCCTAACAAATATTGCAGGATATTATAATATTTTTATTATTTATAAAAAATTAAAAGGATACTAGAACTCCGTTCCCTCGAGTAAATTGTTGTGTGAGTGCATTAAAAAGAAGAGGAAAAGAAAGGAAGAAAAAAAAAAAAATTCCCACAAACATTTAACGTGTTCGTGGCTACGATTGTATATGTGCGTGCGTGTGTGTGTGTGTGTTCATATTAAACGGGAAACACTGCGTTTCCTAAAACCCACCAAAAAAAAAAAAGAAAAAAAAAAACAGAAAATGAAAAAACAACGACAAGGGAAACATACTCAAATTACTTATCGCCTCAATTGATTTCAAATTGCATTTCCTTTCCACAAAAGCGAATGAAAAATGTTTCACATATCTTTGTTTGTATTCATATATTATGCTGTTGTATGTATGTTCTAGTATATATACACATATATCCATACACACACACATATATATATATATATATATATATATATATATATAATGTACGTATTATGTATGTATGTATATATATATATATAATAATATATATTTGCATTTATGTTGTGCTCATAACTGCACCCTAAAGGATAAAATTTCCAATCTTTTTTTTTATTATTTCTCTTCTCAACAACATGCTTTTTTTAACAATATGTTACGAACACACACATACATACAGACACATACCTACACGCAACAAATATCTATCTATATATGTCTATGCATATATATATATACATATATATATACATATACGTACTGCGTGCGTGAAATAAAACGCTTCCAGTTTTCTTCTTCGTTGTTGCTGGTTTTTTTTGGTTTTTTTTTTTGTTTTTCTGCTTTTCTTTTTCGGTGAACTCAAAATACTTTACTTACGTACGTTGTCTCTGTGGCGTACATGATGATGACGGCAATGGTGTTTTTTTTTCTTCTAAACTTCTCTGTGCTATGTTTATATACGTATGCATATGCATAAGTCATAGCAAAGATATCAAACTCTATATATATCGTGTGTGTGTGTGTATGTGCGTATGTGTGTATGTATGTATGCGCGTCTCTATTTATATATGGTCCTATATATGTATATAAGTTAGCCTGTCGGTTCTTTCGAAAATGTCAATAGCAGACACGTTTCTATTTTCGTTTACCATACATTTCTGCTACTGCATCCACTTAATGAAATGCGTTTATTCGGCACATATAAAGTAGCCGATTGGATGGTTTGGTTGTGTATTATGCTTCTTATTGTGTTTCGTCGTGCATGTGATATTCAATGTTATAACACATTGCCAGGATATGTTTATAAAAATGTGTGTTTGTGTGCGCGCACTCTTAGGGTAGTAGGTAGCATGTAAAACGATTGTGTCATTTTTTCAAAAAAATATTTTTTTTTTTTTTTATTGCATAAAAGTTATATTTAACACTAAAACTACCACGTGGGTCAAATGAAATTATTTCATGTTTGCAGTTTATAAAAAAAAAATTGGTATAAGCCATGTAATCCTTCAAAAATCGTTGGTTGCTTTTTTTTATAATTCAATATTTAATCAATTTACTACGTGATCCATTTCTACCAATCGATATTATTTTGGACCCGTAAAGTTTGTGGAGTTGCCGTAGTTGCAAAAATGAAGATAGGAAGCTGAAGTTTCACACAAATATTCCTTGAGACAAATTGGATTTTGTGAAGGTATTTCCGAGACATCTACCTAGATAGTCCCCAGGATTACTATCATCTTCGTTCTAAAAATTATCCCCACTCTTAATCGATTAAGGATCCATATTAAGAAATTGATAAGCAGTTCAGACAAACTAGATTTCGTGAAGATGCTTCCGAAGCACTATTCGCACGTAGTCGTAGGGATAGCTTTCATGTTTGGTCTAAGAGTGTTCCCCATTTTCAATCGATTAAGGATCAGAACTGAGGATTTGAAAAGAGAATGAGACAAATTTGATTCCGTGAAGATGCTTTCTAAACGCTATTCGCAGGTAATCGTCAGGATCGATCTAAGAATGATCTCCAAGTTTATATCTTTTAAGGGACCGAACTTAGAATTCGATAAAAAAATGGAAACTAACACGATTCCGTGAAAGAATACCCGAAGCACTGTTATCCAAGCATTTGTCAACATCAGCTTCATGTTCAATCTAAAAATGGTTTCTCGATCAGTTCACTTACACGCCATCATCGAACGGTAGCTTTTTATATCATTTTTGCTACTCTGGCAACTTCACAAAAATTATATAGACGTTGGTATACGTGGAACACTGATAGTTCTAGTGTTAAAGGAGTTTCTTTTGTCATCGAGAACCAACTATAGAAAATTGTTTCTCATATTTGATCAAGTTTACATATATGTACTTATAAATTTGTATGTATGCATGTATATATTTTAGAATATCGGTTGTCGTATCTTGAAAGTCTTTTCCAATGTGGCGCCACAGAGCACAGATCGTGTCGTTCAGACGGTGGGCAAAAAGACTCAAGTGGTTGATGCTATACGTGAAGTGATCACCTTAACTCGTGAGACACCTATAAAGGGACCGATACACAATTACGATCCATTGAATTACGATCGTATGTATGCCGACGAATACGGAGGCTATGGTAATATACCCGGTAGTAGTCGTCCCTCGCGTGATGGCCGTCGCGGCGAACGTGGCAATTACGATCGTGGCCGTAACGATCGCAGCCGCAGTGGTGGTAGACGTGACAATCCCTTTATAAATCCTTGGGCGAATGATGATGGCGGTTTCAACGGTGGTGGTAATGGTTTCGGTGGCGGTAACTTTGGTGGTAGCAGCGGCGGTTTTGGAGGGCCAGGAAATTTTGGCGGTAATAACGGAGGCTTTGGAGGTCCTGGTGGTCCTATGGGTGGTGGAAATTTCGGTAGTGGTGGGTTTGGTAATCAAGGTGGCATGAATAACTTCGGCGGCGGCAGTGGCGGTTTTGGAGGCGGTCCTAATGGTATGGGTGGCGGCTTTGGTGGCCCATCCGGCCAAGGTGGCTTTGGCGGTAACATGAATTCTGGTGGATTTGGTGGACCCAATAACATGGTTAACGGCATGGGTGGCAATATGGGTAATACAAGCGGCGGTGGTGGCAGTGGTGGCGGTTCTGGAGCATTCGGACAGGGTCCTACTAATAACAGTCCAATTTCTGGCAATTTACCAGAAGGTCACGATCCCAAAAACAGTACTCAAGTTTCCATACCGAAGGACGTAAGTTTAAAACCAAATAACAATATAAATCGCAATTAATTCTGAATTGTTTTAATTTTTTTTTTTTTTTAATTATATTATAGTTGGCTGGTGCTATAATTGGCAAAGGTGGCGGCCGCATACGACGCATACGCAATGAATCTGGTGCTTATATAACCATTGACGAACCTTTGCCAGGCTCATCAGATCGTATTATCACCATTTCCGGTAATCCGAAGCAGATACAAATGGCTCAATATCTACTACAACAGAGGTTGGTGTCGAATAAGGCTTAAAAGTATGCATAAAATTTCATCATTTCAATTTCATTTATTATTTTGTGTTCATCTTCTGTTGTTCTTTTGTACATCTCTCACACTTTTTTTTAATACTCAAATAATATAACAATTCATTAAATGATTAACAAAATTAACAAAAAAAAAAAAAGGAAACAAAATTTAATAATAAGGGTTACTTAAGGAAATAAATTGAATGGCCTTGGGAACACAATCATCGTCTTTAAGCTGTGGCATCCTTTAAAGGGATGCAATAAGCAATGAGTTGTAGTAGTAGCGGCCAACATTGAAGCCCTTTAATAATATCTTTTATTGCATATTTTAATCAGCATAGGTATGCCAGGTCAGCTAAACGATAAGCCGGAAAAATCAAAATGAAGTCTAAGTCTTGGCACAGATACGCATACATCTGAATATGCCCTTGGATTGCCAACAAACCTCTGATTTTAATAATGAAAAAAACACTTTTTTTAAACTAAAGCTTTCCCGACTTTTTAAATAGCCGCATAGTCCCTCCCTGCATAATTCCTTTAGCTGGTAGCAAAATTCATGCCACAAAAACAAATTAATTCGTTAATGTTGAGGTTAAGTATACCATTGAAATTCCATGAATTTATTTGGCATACGCAGCCATTGAAACGAAGAGGATCTGGAAAACCGAAATCTAGGCGACTTCCTATTTACACTTTTGTGATTTTATCAAGGTCGCTTCATTACAATCTGTACATATTCCGTGTATGTTGCTAAAGAGATCGACACAGTTAACTGGTTTAATAAGTTTGCGAAGCGTTTCATGGTTTCACCTTTACGATAATTGCAATTAAGTCTTTTATTTTTCCTCAGAGTACGCAAAATTTAAGGCAGGCTTCCTTTTCACAGTGATGGATATTCAAAATTCATTCCTTGGAATGAATTCTTAGCAAAAATATAACTAAAGAAACAAAAATCTAATGAAATTCATGGCAAAAATGGAACATAAACGTAAGGCGTTTGCTTTCATTGCTGAAGAAAAGCAGAATATGCCACAGTTCGTGAATATGATGTTACCCGGTATAGCTGAAATTTCTGTAAAGAGGTAGATTAACATCCATATATATAGTTTTTAGTAATTAAGGAGGTTTGGTTGCTGCCTAGACAAGGGTGAAAACTTTGTCTTCTCCTCTTCTAATAGTGATGAAGCATACTAAAGAGTCAAGTGTGAACAGCTCGAACTCAACAAAGAGGAATTTATGGGAAATTACCTGCATAAACTCTTAGGAGGATTTAATTAGGAATCGAAAGAAAGCGAAAGACTTTGATAGACGAGGCCTTTGCAATAAGACAATCACAATCTCTTAAGAACTAATTAGACATTTTTTCTACCTAAACATGACCACAGACATTGTTTAGTAATTGACGGCGTTGTACCTTGTTCAGAAAGTGTTTGCAGTAGGCAGTAAAGAGAATTGATAGTTAGGTTTATTAAATTGTTCACTTTTAAGAATTCTCGAAAACTTTTTTGGTGTTTAGTCATATAATTGGCGAACTCAAATCTTTAAAAAAAAAATTAAGTTAAGGTGGATGTTTCTACAAATCTTGTTCAATGTAATATACGTTTTAATTGGAATGCTTGTATATAATAGATGTATATATATGTATATATAAATATTTATATATATTTATATATATGCCTTTGTATAAAATGTGTGGTGGTGCTTGCAAAAACTCTATTATTATTCATGTGGTGTATTTCTAACTTGTCTTAATATACCTTGTGTGGAAGACTAGTGATTTTGTTGTTTAGGTATTTGTAATAACAATAAATCCCTTGTCTTCTTACAATGTGTATTATTTGCTGCATATCAAAAACAAAAAACAAATAAATAAATAAATAAACTCTAACTCACATCACATCATCTACATCTACATCTACAATATCAAAAAAAACAGAAAGTGCTTAATAAAAGTATTGAACTAAAAAAAACCTATTAAATACACATTAATTATTTCTTGTCTTTCATTTTTTTTTTTTTCATTTTTTCTATTTTTAGCGTCCATGAGAATCAGCGACGAAATATTTAAAGAGATACACAAAAAAAAATAAATAAATAAATAAAAATTCCTTAAAAATTAACAAAAAAAAAAAAATAATAATAATAATAATAAGAAAGAGAACAGAAAAGAAACTGAAGGGAAAAGAAAACAAAAACTGATTGTGTAATAAGTTTCGCAAAATATTATAAAACTTCATCATATTAGTTAAAAAGCTACAGAATCTATAAACATGGAATCGTTGAAGTGTGCAGCGTAAGATTTTATATAACTTGCAGCATAAAACCGTAGAATTTTTCTCCATTGATTAATATCCCCTTTAAATACCCACTTTAGCTTTCTCGTCAATTCTTCTAGTTTAGTTTAAAAGAAAAAAAAAAAAAAAACAAAACAAAACAAAAAAAAAGAAATTCTTTTACATAATTGTTAATATCTTGATGACGTAACGGTCTGTTTGCTGAACTGAATGTATTACTAGAAAATAAATTAGGAAAAAAAAAAAAATGAAGAAAACATTCACAATACCACCACCATCCATCCATTCTCTTCCTTTCTTTTGCTTCCAAAAACTTGATTAACAACAAACGAGAAAACCCCACCAGCGGCATATAAATTAAACAATAAAAAATTATTAAGGCGCTATAATTATATGTTCTAAGTAAATTAATAACTAACTTAAATCATTAGTTTTTTTTAAAATTTTAAAGAAAAAGTAGAACAAAATTGATTTTCCTGATCTTTTTTTTTTCCTTTTTCAATAATAATAAACTTTCACTCGTAGAAACCTCAGTTGGCATGGCAGTGCTGGCAACCTCTCCTTTATATATATAGAAAAGTTAACATTAAAAAAAAAAAAAGAAAAAATCATTTTTTAAAATCCTTAGCTTATTTGATAAAAGCTGATTTTCGTTCTGGCAATGCTTACAAAAGTTTTCTTTTCTATTTCATATAGGTTTTAAAAAATAAGAATAAATCGTTTTTTTTTTTTGTTGGTTTTTTTATTAAATTTTTTTTTAATAATAAATTTAAAAAAAAAAAAATATTTTGCAGATTATATTTAATATTAGTTATTTTCTTATAAAAGTGTAAACATTTATAACAGCAAAATAAGCGGAATAAAATAAATAAATAAAGAATATAAAATTAAAACGAAATGTTTTCTTTCAATTTTATTTCATTTACATGGAACGTTTATATATAGTGATAATTAGGTTTCTAAAGTTGGTAAGGCTAGCATTTGGAAATAGATTGATTGTCAATATCACTCAGTGCTTAAATCAGCTGTTCTTGTTTATAATAGGTTTAGTACGCGCGCAGGAATAAAAGGTACTAATCGTTTCTTTAAATAAAATAGAGGTTATTTGTTCGCCTTCAAACATTTTAAACAAGAAATAAATTGTTGCATTTATGGCCGAAGAGCTAGGTTCATTAAGTAACAAATGGCAAATTAATTTTAAAAAATTTTAAAAAAGTATTCCGCGATTTTCGACGTAGAGGACTTTTTTGTATAAAGAATTTGCTTCAGAAATTGCAGTTGAATGAAAAAAGGCGTTTTGAAAAAAGTATGAAAATTGATGATTTTTTTATGTCCAAGAGCTATGAATGACAAAAGGTGTTTTGAAAAAACTATTAAGAAAATTGATGAATTTTTACGTTCCCTATGCAATATATGAAATATTCCGATAGAAATATTGATTGATTTGCCATGTTCTGGTCTTGTCGAGTATCAAAAGTTTCGAATTAAACATAAAGCCAAACCAGTAAAGATAACTTTTAAGTTCGTTTATACTGACTAATATGAGCATTGTTGTAGTAATATCAATTCAATCAAAATCTGGAAGAATCCCAGAAGTTACCCTCACGCAACTGAACGAGTAATGCACACAAAAGATACGGGTTCATTCATACTCCTTTACTCTTACCTAAACTAAAATCATCTTTTCAACAAAGGTACGTATAGTCGGAAAGCTTCCTCAAGGTGCTGTCCTAGAGACGAATACGACAATTGTTTAGTTGTCTTAAAGCGACGGCCGACAAAATAGATACTGATGAATGCTCCGGCGTGAGCAAAACTTTTCTACTTGTTTTTTGCACTTCAGAGAAAGAAGCATGACACCACTTTCTAATTTTTACGGTCAAAAAACTAATATGATATTTAAGGTAAGAACATTGCTGCTTGTAACTACACTAGACTACAAGTGACTTTGCTTTTAGGTCATACAACTTGAAGCAAACTTTTTTTTAATTTATGTCGGCAAAACATTTCTTCCTTTATAAGCTTTAGATCAGAAGTTAGAGAAATTCTCTAAAAATATTTGGTATCCAATTAAAGCGATGTGCTTCACTTTTGAGTACTTATTGTAATGAAAATGCTTTCATTTAGAAAGTGAATAAGTAAGAAAATTATTTTATCTGCGACCGAATCTTCTATCCCCTTACATTATGATGAAAAAAAAAAATTAAAAAAAGTGAAAAATCTCGTTTTCCATTGACCTTTTACTGCAGATGTGTGTGTCCCTTAACTGATTCGGATCGTTTTCAATGTCAAAAACTCGTTAATTATTTTGCTTAATTTGAAGTTGATGTCTTAAACAGGGGAAGTTTTATCACAAACCTTTCGCAGTCGAATGGACTGAAATGGTTTCAAAATTTGATGCTAATCAAGCCTATGTATACCTTATGTAGCGTAGGACGTCTGGATGTGGCAAATGCTATGATAAGCTGAATGTACGCCCATTCTTTCCCACAAAAAGTGTTTACGCCTAAAGTTCACTCCAAACAATTTTTTAAGATTTTTTAGCTAAATTTCTTTTAAGAAAAAATCTTAAATTCAAGGACGGAGATATTGTCGCTTTTCTTTCTTTTGCAACGCTGAAAAATACGAATGAAATAGCAGTACAACTATAGCTCAGAACAATTTCATCGTCTATTCTGTTATGACCTCTTTATAAACTGAGGTAGAAAGCTTGGAAGAGAAGATGACGGAAAGAGCTAAAAATGTGTCATTTCCTCTCATCATACTAAAGGCCTATAGTTTTTGAACCTGAGCAGATATTAAATTAAAGAGATTTCAGGAGATATTTATCAAAACGACAATCGCTACTGATCCATATTGAATGTAATGCCCGATAGTACACTTTAACTGCTCAAACTCTCCGTTAAATTAGCACATTATTAAATCTTTGCCTGTTTTCTCATCATTGTTACACTTCTAAGGCATTACGGATAAAAGCGATTATTAATAAAGATATCGGCTACAGTTTAAACTGCTGTTGGATAATGGAACAAATCTATATCTTTTGGATGAATTAAATATCTTATGCGTTATGCTTATAATGTATGTTAAGACAGAAAAAATGTATCCAAGACGGGAACCTATGTCTTCATTCTTGCTATTAAAATTAGAATTTCAAAGAAATATGAACGTTTTGTGCGAAAGCGGTGTTGATCGGACGCCTAATAAGCCTACAATTAAGTAAAAGTAGTGTCACTCAGTATATCCATCGTAGGAGGATTTGTCAAGAATGCATGGCGAATGCAAACATGTGTTGTGGAGCATAAAAAATGGTCACAATAAGTGCCAGAATAGTTTGGAAATGTCTATCCGTCCAGTTGGGTGTCATTCGATCATTTATTGATTGCGAGTTTGAAATTTTGTCCAAAGAACAAGCATGATTTCAGATTGTTTCGCTGGGTAGTTTAAGTTCAGTTAAATCGCCTGAACCCGTTCCTGTTCGTCTTTACAATCATTAAGAGATTTAAAATTGTTCCCCTTTAAGTTGTGACTGCATGACTGTACATAATTTACTTTCTCCTATAGTCGAATAAACAATGGCAAACGCGTTATTGTTTGATTTGTTTTGTTGTGTTTTTTATTAGATCTATAAACTTTTCAGTTCTCTAAAATATACCCAAGAAGAAGAAGAAGAAGAGAGGTGGTTAATTGTAATTATTGGAAAGTTACTTTATTTAATCGGAATCATTTATATTTCATTTAAATTAATTGCATGCTCTTATAAAATACATACGTATTTACTTTACGTTATGTAATTACTTTTTTTGCTTTTATTTACAAACTAAAAATTGTGTCAGTTAAAGTTAATTGTTCGCGTTGTTGTGGTTTTTGTTTTATTTTTATTAAAAGTGATTGGTTTGGATTATTTATCTTTTTTTTTTTTTTTTTTTTTTTTTTTTTTTTTTTTTTTT